GACCTTTCCCCTGCCATCCCTCTCCTGTTGAACTCCCTTCTTTCCTTAGGATAACAGAGTTAGAACTGAAAAGGACCTCAGAAGCCATCCAACTCAACCCCTTCATTTTTCACAGAGAGGGTAAGTGACTTGTCCAAGGTTGCAGAGGTAGTCAGGCTCAGAGATTGAGCCCTGAAGGCCCAACACATGTTCCAATCTTACCACATTTCATACCCTCATTTTGAAGTGATCTCCCCTTCCATATTTCTTGTGGTATTTTGGCCCCTCTCTTTGCACTTGTCATTTAAATTATATGATGTTCATTTAACATGACATATATGAGGTTTGGGGAGACTATACTCTTTTTTTTAAATTCTTATTTTCAGTTCCAATTTCTCTCCCTCCCTCCACCCCTTCTCCTCTCATTGAGAAGGCAAGAAATACGATACTCATTACACATATGAAGTCATGCAAGCCCTATTTCCACATTAGCCATAACATGTTAAATATGCTTTATCTCCCCGTCTGAATGTAAACTCTTTCATGGAGGGATTATTTCTGACTTCATCTTTGTGTCCTGGACATCGTGTCCTGTTCAGAGTAAGTGCTTCATAAATGTTTATCAAATTGAACTGAATCAGATGAATGAGAATGCATGTGGGTGCTTTACCTTCTGACAAAATAGAAGGGCTGGGGAACATTATTTCTTTGTGTCCTGAGACTTCCAAATCCTTGGTGGTTGAAGTACTGAAATTCTATATGAAAACTGGAAACTTAAAACATAATATCCCTTGAGTTGCCATTTCATCGCAACCATTGTATGAGCCGAAGCTTCTATTCCTTGTTTTCTCTATCCACTCAAAGCATTTCTTCATCCCTGAAATAGTTATGGTGTAGAGGGGACCTACATTCCTCCCCTACCTCCCTGACATGTCAGCTGAAATCTAACTGGTCTTATTATTGCCCTCTTAAGATGCCTTGGTGGATAGAGCACTGGGCCTGGAGTCAGGAAGACCTGAGTTCAAATCCAGCCTCAGATACTAGCTGTGATCCTGGGCAAGTCACTTAACCTCTTTTTGCCTTACTCCAGTGGAGTAGGAAATGGCAAACCACTCTAGTATCATTTCCAAGAAAACCCAAGGGACAGTATGGTCCATGGGGTCATGAAGAGTCAGACACAACTGAACAGCAAACAAGAAGTCTTTATCAGCTTTCCTAAGTCTACTCTGCTTGCCTGGAAAGCTTTCATAGTGTCATAATTCAAGACGTGAAAGGGAACAGAGAGGCCATCTAGTGCAACCCTTTCATTCACAGATGAGGAAACTGAGGCCAATGAGGTTGTGACTTATCCAGTGTCGCACAGACGGTTGTCAGAGGTAGGGTTCGAATCCCAGTCTTCTGATTCCTGAACCAATATTCTTTTCACTGAACTACTTACACTCAAATCCCACCTATTCTTTAAGGCCCTACATAGTTCTGATTCCAGCCTCTTTTAGATTTTCTCCAGCACCTGTGCCCACCAGTATTTCTCCTTTCCCTTAACCCCTCTAAACATCTATTATCTGATCCTCTCATTTGACACTTGGACTGTTGGTCACCTTTGTCTTATCTCCCCACCTAGATAATAATAGGTTCCCTGAGGGCAGGTAAGGACCTTTTCTTTGCCTGTCTACATCTCTCCCTTCTTGTTGTTCAGTCCTGTCTGACTCTTTGTGACCTTTTTTTGGAGTTTTCTTGGCAAAGATACTGGAATGGTTTGCCATTTCCTTCTCCAGTTCATTTTCCCAACGAGGAAACTGAGGCAAAGAGGATTAAGTGACTTGCCCAGGGTCACACAGCTAGTTAGTGTGTGAGACTAGCGAGTGTCTGAGGTCATCTTCCTGACTTCAGGCCCCACTTTGCCCCCTAGCTGCCCACAATCATCCTCCTAGTAGATAGTAATACCCCAGAAGTCAGGGACATTGTCCTTTGTTTGAATCTACAGTACTTTGGGAAATAAATATTTGTTGAATTGGGCTTGTGTCTTCTACAATGACAATACATCACTAAGTACTATATAAGGTCTTTTGAAAATTCTCTTTCTTGCATAACTCCACATGTATAACCTATATTGAGTTGCTTGCCTTCTCAATGAGGGTGGGTGGGGAGGGAGGAAGGGAGAAAATTTGGAACCCAAAGTTTAAAAAAACACATTTCTAAAAAAAAATGTTTTCACATGCAACTGGGAAATAAGAAATACAGGAAATGAGGTACAGAAATCTATCCTGCCCTACAGGAAAATAGAAGGGGAAGGAGGGGAGAGACAGCAGGGAAAGCAGACTAGGGGAAGGGGTATTCAGAATGCATGCCATCTTGGGTGAAGGGCGAGATGGGGTGAAAATTTGGAACTCAAAATCTTGTGGAGGCAAATGTTGAAAACTTAAAAATGAAAAAAATAAATTAAAATTAAAAAAAAGAAAGAAAATTCCCTTTCTTCCACTAACAACATGGTGAGGAGAGAAGGGAGAGACAGCCAGAGACAGAGAGAGAATTTATGAAGTGATAACTATGTGCCAGGCACTGTGCTAAGAGCTGAGAATACAAATACTACCTGCAAGCATGGCAGTCCCTGCCCTCAAGGGGCTTACAGTCTAATGGGAGAAGACTACACATAAAAAGGAAATGAAAAGGGGGTGGGGTGCTATAAAAGGGTCACGGTGGTATGGGACAGGCCAGAAGTATCATCAGGGAGGCATTAAGGAGGCCCAGGCCCAGGCAAAATAAGGCAAAGGTGACTTATCAGAGCCGGAGGGCTCATTGACCAGAGCCCAGGTTACTAGCGGAGAGAAGGTAGAAGTTATAGTCCAAGTAGAAGCTGGGACCCCATTCTTCTGCTGGCTGCCAAGCCTTCTGAACTCCTCCACGGAACCTTGTTTGGGAGTGGGATGACTGGGTTCTACATTTTTCCTTTTCCAGTTCTCCTGCATGAGAGGAGAAATGTGTACTGGAAGAAGGCCTGGGTTCAGAGAGTAAGGTGAAAGGCTAGTGGTTTTTATAGTAGGAAGCAGTCCTTCAGGTCTCTATTTCATCCTCCATCACCCTGCCCCGCCTCCTCCCTCCTCCGTCCCTCCCCAGACTCTTTACCCGACAAGAAAAGGGTTCCAGGAGAGGGAGGAGGATTCGAGGCGACATTTGAGCTTGGAGAAGGGATGTTTCTTCGTTCAATCAGGAGAATAGTGTGGGAGGGGGAGGGAAATCGGGAGTTTTGGATGTATTTTCCTTGATTGAATCACCTGTGGACCCTGCTCTGCTCTCTTGCCCTTCATGATCCTCTTTCAATGAAGTGTGAAAAGCAGGGACTCAAATGCTGGGCTCTAGAAGCTTGTGAGAAACCTTGAGCAATTAATGCTCGCAGAGAAAGAGGAGGCATCTTCCCTGTCTCCTCTTGCAGCCTGAAGAGAATCTGTGCGGGGGAGGGCCTGGGGGTGTTTAGGCTGAAAGTGTTGGAGGATGTAGAATTCAGCCCTTAATGCCGTGTGTGTGTGTGTGTGTGTGTGTGTGTGTACATGCACGCGCGTCTCAGCGTGTGGCGGAGAAAACCACTGGTGTGTATCTGTGTTACTTTGAGTGTATCGGGGAGCCTGTGAGTATATGTGATTGTGGGGATGTCAGTCGACGACTGGCGGAGCGCTCGGCAGGCGCACAGAACATGACACCTTTTTTCTTTTTCTCAACTACACCCTCCCCCAACCCCTCCCCCAGCAGCCCCAAGGCTCTCAGCTCTTTTCAGCTCAAACTCCGATCTATCATCAACTGACCCAATCCTAGGGAAATGACTCTTCCCCTCTGGTGACTCAGTTGCTGACCGATGGGTTGCACTCCTCATTTTCCCAGTACAGGGGCGTTGGGCGGCGCTCTTCTGCTCCCCCCCCCCCACGAGTCTGGAGGATTGATCCCGCCGCTTGAGGGTGTCTGAGCTGCACTCCCACCCCCAGGCCCTTGGAGGGGGCAGGCAAGGAGCGTGAGGGGGTGGGACTCAGGCGCCCTGCAGTGCAGGCAGAGGGGCTGAGACTCTAGGATCTGGGATTGGAGCTGCTCAGTGCCAGTGGCCCCCCACGAGTTGCACCCGCCCCCCGCCCCCGGTTCCACAGCCGCCGTCTCAGCCCCGGCAGAGAGGGAGGAGGAGTCGATCCTCCGCTCTGATCCCCCAGTGGGGCGCTGGGCACCGCTCTCCTGTCCCGGAGCCCTCCTCGGGTTCCAGAGGAGACATTACCATGGAGAGTCCGACGCTATCCTGACCCCCGAGGCTATAAAACCCGGACTCCTGGTGCAGTGGCTTCAGCTGCTCTTGAGCCAATTAATCCCCCAAATAACTGGCGCCCCAGTGCGGTTTCCCTCTCCACCACCATCCCCAACCCCCCCACCCAGTGGGAGGAAGAGCAGCGGCGGCGCCGGCAGCCTAAGGAGCAGCGCTGGAAGAGATCCCATCGCCTCCACCGTTGTTTCGGCAGGGAAGCTAAGGAGGCTGAAACGCTAGAAGCTATCACCTGAATAGCTGCGAGAGGGCCCCCAGGTATGGGATTGGGAAACACCTGGGCGCAGGAGGAGTAGCGGAGAACCCCACACGGGGGAGCCCAGGACCTGTAGTTACCGTCTAGTGGACAGCCAGGTGCTGGCTCCAGAGAGTAGCGTGGAGCAGAAATATCCACGCGTGAAGGCCGGGAGCCAGAGAAGTAAAGAGCGTAGACAAGGGGTCCGAGAGCAGCGAGGAGCAAGAACCCCCCCCCCCAGCAGGACAGCAAGCAGCAGGAACCCCAGAGAAGGGCTTCAGCTTCGTGGGAAACCCAGGACCTGCGACTGGAGTCCTTAAACGCAGGAGCAACAGCTCTGGGCCAGGGCCACCCACGCGTGGAGCACCGGCAGCAGGCCCGAGGCCCAGCAGTACCTTGGCCATTTCTAAGTGAGACCTAGGAGTAGCTCCAGGGCAGTGAAGCCCACCTCCTCAGGCGTCAAGGCCGAGTGCAGCCGAAGAGACCGAGGGTATGTTGAAGCCAAAGGATCTGTGCCCTCGGGCGGGCACTCGTACTTTTTTGGAGGCGATGCAAGCTGGCAAGGTGCACCTGGCGCGTTTTGTTCTGGACGCACTGGACCGTAGCATCATTGATTGTCGGGCGGAGCAGGGGCGCACGCCGCTCATGGTGGCGGTGGGGCTGCCAGACCCCACGCTCAGATCCCGCTTCGTACGGCTGCTGCTGGAACAGGGCGCGGCCGTGAACCTGCGAGACGAGAGGGGCCGCACGGCGCTGAGCCTGGCCTGCGAGCGGGGCCACCTGGACGCGGTGCAGCTGCTGGTGCAGTTCAGCGGCGATCCAGAAGCGGCCGATTCGGCGGGCAATAGCCCAGTGATGTGGGCCGCCGCGTGTGGCCACGGCGCCGTGCTCGAGTTCCTGGTGCGCTCTTTCCGCCGCCTTGGCTTGCGCCTCGACCGCACTAACCGCGCGGGCCTCACAGCATTGCAACTCGCGGCCGCCCGAGGCCACGGGCCTTGCGTCCAAGCGCTCACAGGGCCCTGGGGCCGTGCTGCCGCCGCAGCGGCGGCCCGCGCCCGGGGCTCTACCTCGGACAGTCCCCCAGGCCGGCCCAGTGCTGCGCCTAGCCCTGAGCGTCGCCGGCCTAGCCCCCGCCGCCTTCCGCGGCCCCTTTTGGCCCGCTTCGCCCGGGCAGCTGGCGGCCATGGGGGTGAAACAGGCACCGGGAGCAAGGGCTCGGGCCGACAGAGATCGTTGGGCAACGAGCGGCCTGAATTTGGCCGCAGCATGAGCTTGGCTCTGGGCTCGGTGACCGAGGAAGAGGCTGCGCGGGTCCGGGCGGCAGCCCAGCTCCCCCAGCCAAATTCCCCTCAGGCCTCGGGCACCGGGAGGTGGCGCTCGCAGGAGCTACTGGAAGGCAAGGCTCTGGCCCTAATCAAGGCTCCTGGTGGGCTCACCCCCCATCCTGAGGGCGCCCCTGGGAAAGGCCGTCTCGGTCTGCGCCGCCGTTCTACTGCGCCGGACATCCCCAGCCTAATGGGGGAGGTGCAAGGGTCAGACGGCGGGCTGGAGCAGGAGCTTGACTCGCTGCCCCTCACTCTGCCTGGCCAGCAGACCCCTTGGCAGGGGGGTACCGAGGCAGAAGCAGTGGTCTTACAAGCCCAGCGGTGAAGAGGCCCCTGGGCACTTCACCAAGATTCCCCAAACCCAAATTCTCCTGTGCTGGATCCATGCAACATCCCAGTTCCTCTTCCCTATTGACCCTTCCACCTCTGCAATGGCCAGAGTTGCTCTCGTTCTTACAGGACAATCCGAATTTCCTGTATCTCCCGGGTCTGCTTCTCCACCCCTGGCATCCACCAGAGTAGCCAGAGTAGCCTGTGGCCTCTGAACAGTCCCTCTGAGGGGTTTGCACTATTTTCCTCTCCCCTCCCCCATCGTTCCCGTTGTTCCCCCTTTCACGACCCCCTTCCCGGCCCTCCTTTCCATTTCGTTTAGATTTTCCACCTCCATCCAGTGGGCCAGCTCTTCCCTTTCCTTCTCTTCCCCTTCCTTCTCTTCCCCTTGCACTAAAAGCAAGTAGAAGAAAAACTGGTACCCTAACAGACTCGGGGCCCACGGTCTACATGAACCTAAAGGTGTAGTAGCTTTGAGGGTCTTAGCCTGTTAGTGAGACCTAGAATCATAGATTGTTAAATCTGAAAAATATCTTAGAGAGCATTTGCTCCAACCTGTTCATTTCATAAATGAGAAAACCGGGACCCAGAAGAAATCAAGCGACTCTCCCAAGGTCATACGGGTAGTAACAGCCAGATTTCAAACCGAAGGCTTTTTATTCCCTAATCCATTGCCGTTTCCCATTACACCTTGCTGCTTCCCTAATCTTTAGCGTTCATTTTTGCAAACGGTAGAAATGCCAGTACATTCTCTGTGCTGCAGCCATAGCGTCTTGAGGGATGGGAGAATACTTTCTCAGAATGCTGGCAGCTATCTGCCCCGGGTGATTGCAAACTTGCTCCAGGTATGTCTATGACACAGTCCTTTCTCTCCCTGTACCAATAGTGATGGTGTCCCAGTGCCAGGGCAAGGAGAGAGCCAAAGGGGGGGGAGGGGTCCAGAGACCTGAGGGACAAAAGGATTCTTTCCGAATTCTGTCACTTACTATGAGTCTTGGGGAGTGGGGGAGAAAACTATGTGTTTAATGACTATGAAAGGGTATTTTCCCCCAAAGACAGTTCAACAGGAATGAAAAACAGCTGGTTAGGAATCTTTGCCATTGTCCTCTAATGTCCGTTATGCCGTAGGAACATAGGTGTAGAACTGCTGGGGGCCTTAGGGACTACCAGCTCCAACCCCTTCATTTTACAGATGACTAAACTGAGACGTGGGTTGATTAGCTTGTTTAAGGGCAGAGAAAAATAAGTATCAGAAAGGAGTTCTGAACTCAGGTCTCTCTGACTTCAAGTCTAGTGCCCTGTCTCCTAGGGTATGCTGGGTGCAGTAGTCCTAGTTCATATTGCCTCTGCCTGGGGTCTGACTTGTCTGGGGGGGCTACCAGTTACAGCGCCAGACTATCCTGAGTACCTTTCCAAAGTTTTCTGGCTCTCTTCCCCCAAAACATCCACATTCTAGCTACTAAACCGCCATCAGGGCAAACAACTAAACCTCTTTCAGTTTCCATTGGGTCAAAATGGAGTTTTTGAGGTAAGAAATCCAAAGGTTTATATCAGTTACTCTCATTTCCCCAAGTCTTCCACTTCACTGTTTCCACTTAATTCTAAGATACTTAAAGGGGAAATGTTTCCTTAGTGCTCCCCCACCTCTGTGCCCCAAACTCC